CGCTATTGTCCCGTAGGTGACTGCGTTGTTCAAACGCGTGAAGGAGACGATAGCTGAGCGTATATTAGTGAAGTCGTGGCTGGACGACGAGACCAGGACGCAAGCGTTGCAGAAACTAAATTCCTTACGAGGTCGATTTCACGTGTCGCCTGATTTCTACAATGGCACCTTGCTGGCACATGAGATGGCCGAGGTGAAAGCGATTATCTTCTTTTACACATAGATACATATTAAACTTATTGAGACTCAATTAAAACGGAAGAGATAGGTTCTCCCTCTTCGTACAGAAATGTGGATCTAATTCGTAACGATAAGATGACGTAAACTTTAAAATTCGTCTATATTGTCTTTTCTATCAATATTATTAAATAGCGTTGTCTCATAGGTCGTAATTGACTCAGACGACTTTATTGCCACTGTCCTGAGAAGGTTCCGTCAGATGCGAAGCTTACAAGACCCAAGTCCGTTACGAAGAAACGCAATAATTAGGTGAAAAAAACTTCCATTTAAGTCTTTTAATTTTAATAGAGGTCCACGAATAGAAAAAAACTTAACTCCTAACTGTATCAAATAGTTCTCTCATCGTTTCTTCTGAACACATGTAACTTTGATAGAGGCTGTAACTCTGGTTCAGATAAATATTTTTGGACTTGCTTTTTTTATTTTGAAGCTCTAAGATTTAGGAATATGTATTGCCTGAAAGATATGATTAGATATTAATACTGAAAAGTTTTATTTTATTAAGTTATAAAGTTAAATATCGAAAATAGAAAATTTCAAACAAGTAAAATTTCGTCTAGGTCTGGGAAATCTTGTGTGTTCTGTATTAATATTGTATAGAGGGGAAGGAGAAAGAGAGAGAGAGCTATTTTCTAGCTTTGTTTTCCCCAAGATTTTTCTGTCTAAATTGTATATTTATGCTTTTAGATGTCATTACCCTTACTCCGTACACGCCTACTACGAATCCTCCACAAACACCATCGGTAAGTACTGTTATTATAAGTCGCACGCAAAATCGGTATCGGGCAATTTAACTGAAGTTGCCCTTGTTAAAAATGAAAGGAATTCCATTGGCAATGATGACATCCTGGGCATGGTCGTGGGACGGCGGACCGGCTTTTGCGGTGCACGCTACGCTAGGATCGGTCATCGCGCACGAGATTCTCCATGCCTTTGATTTTCACCGTCGTAGACTGCCCATGGAGCCGGACCGAGATGTCGACGAGTTGCTTCGCGTCACGCCGAACTCCTGGAAGCGATTGGAAACCAGGATAGAATGCGTCGCACGACTTTACGCCAGGAGTTTCTGGCGGAAGGTCCAGTCTTACGGGAACGACGTTGCCGTACAAGTAAGCTTTACGTGTCTTCAAAGCGAAAGAAGATGTTCGCAACTTCTTCATTAAGATCAAGCGTAACCGTTCTTATTTTCTCTTAATTTTATCGCACAGTTCGATTGGAACATGACGAAAAACGAGAACGTCGCGGATATCGGTGCTCTGCAAATTGCTCACAAGACCTGGTACACCTTGACGAACGGGAAGGACCGGAGCCTCCCCGGATTAGAAGGACTCCGTCCAAGTCAGCTCTTCTTCATAAGTGCCGCACAGGTAACCCGTTCCCTTCCTCAAATATTCATTGCGATTTTCTCCTTCTTTTTATATCTCTGTACCTTAGAAGTAAATAATCGTATCCCCGTATCGTATTATTATGGATTTAGAGAAAACAAGTTTTAAAGTTTTAAATAGGAAAGTGATATATTTTTTTAGATATAAAAAAAAATAGCGCCTTGATTTATTAAGTTTTTAATAAAGTAATTTAACTGACATGTTTAGTAGTACAACTGTGAATAACATGCTGTACCTGGTTTAAAAATTAGGCACTATAAAAATTTTCAATACGACTTTTTGTAAACATTTTATCTTAGGAACTAGTAATAAAATAGACATATAAGACGCTTTATCATTATACAATTTAAACTTCTAGTATATTGAAAAAATGTATTAACTTTATTTTGAAAAATTGGATATATGTTGTGATTCTTTACCTTTAAGGTACACAGATCTATTCTACACAAATAATAAAATAATATGGTAAAAGAAATTATATTATAACTTTTTATTATGATATTCATATTATATTTTTATTTTATATGATATATGAAATATGATATATGATATATAATATAAAATTATATATAGGTACGACTGCTTCAGATATTTCTTGACAGTAACAAAGAATATCTTTTATCACCGATACATTATATATAAGTATATTATATAAATGTATATGCAAATAAATTTTTTGTTATGTAAAAAATTATTATGTGTATATAATATATATATATAGGTATATATATATATATATATATATGTATATATATGTATAATAATTTATATATTTATATATTATATATTCATTTTGATCTTTTACATAATATCAGATTTATATACGATTTAATTAAATACGAGCACAAATATTTTTTAATGCATCGACACCGTTATGCTTTTAGGTACACTGTGTTAATACGACTATCGAGGCCTACGTTTTCTCGGTCGAGTCCGACTATCATTCTCCTCACCCTGAAAGGTATTCGATATTTTCTCTTATTTCTCTCTTCTCTATTTATGCAATTTGAAATTTTCTTGTAAGAGGAAACATAAGGGATAACGATCGATTACGTTTCCAGAATCAACAGTGTAATGATGAATTCTCAAGCGTTCGTAGAGGCGTTTCGCTGTCCACTCGGAACAAAAATGAACCCCCCGAATAAATGCACTGTCTGGTGATCGTACGCATTCATCGATATACGAATATATAAATTGTGCGTGTAGCAGGCCGTCTATACCTCGCTTAATTTTATTTCGCAGTTACAATATACGATTGTAAATATATTATTTTAAGATCGTAATTCGCAATGGGAATTAAAGCTACAGGAGAATGGGTATTTGCCCCTTTACGCGAAAACTAAACTAATACTTAATCCATTAAGAACCATAATTACAAAGAATTTAATCACAATTTTTGTTCTCTTTAAGAAAGCTTTAATACTAGAATCATTAAACAGATAATTCTTATTAATCTTACGCTTGAAAAATCGCATTTTCTTCTTGAAAGCTTGCCTTACAAATTAGATTTAAGATAAAAGAAATCAAAAGTGTTCTGGCGTTCATTCATTTTTTAAATCTATGACAAACATAAAAATATAAGTACAAATCAAGCAAATACTAACAAAAATTAAAAATATCGTTATTAATTTAATTCATCACAATATTAATAATAATTATTTTTAAGAAGGTAAAAATCAAAAGTAATTGTAAATACTTACATTATTTAGTAAACTTGAATTTGGTCTTAAAAGTGAAATGTTAACCATTAATGAATTAACTCTTTTGGGTAACTCTTTCAATTGCTAAAAAGCTTCATACTATTGTATGGATTTAGTGAACAGCCTTATTAGGCTGTTCGATATAACTATCGCTTTTTAAAGGTTGTTATGTAGAATAAGAAGAAACACATGATGATATAGTATATTTCTTTGTTTATTATGTAGTTTCTCTAGAATTTACAAAAGAATTATTAGATTTATATTTCAAAGAATCATTATCCGCCCGTGATGCTGTGAAGAAGACTTGTTGATTAAATTAAATTGTAGTCAACTATGT